CCCAAAGATGGCCATTGTTAATATCATAGATGACTTTGGTAGATGTGCTTATTAATTGCAGTATTACTCATTTCTTGTTTTCAAATCTTTTAATTTATCATCTAATCAGCACAATGATCCATGGAATAATCCATCTTTATTTTATTCCTATTTTAGGTGGCTAGGCTTATTATTATTCATAGCACAAGTCCAATGCTTTGATTATTAAGTGGTGTCATTTGTATCCAAATGACTTTTACATGTCATTCAAAAGGAAATTGAATATTATGAAACATTAAATGAGACCCTCTTTACCCAAGTGTGAAGGAGCTGACAATTCAGTTAGAAGGTGACTAGAAGATATTCTAGAATTATATGATCTGGTGTGGCAGCTGCATCCATGGAAACTTTGGAATATAGTACCAAAGACCTCAACCAGTGTTCCCAGCATCTTGCCCCACTTTCTTTTTTGCTCCTTGTCCACATACCCACTAGCCTCTCTTCAGTCTCTCCTTTCACATTCTTCTCCCTGTGCTTGCAATGGTCCTCTCTCCCTTCTTATCTTAGGTACATCCTGTGCATCCTCTAAATCTCAGCTAAATTATCACTTTTTTAGAGAAGCCCTCTCTAATCTTCCCAACCAGGTCAAATCCCCTATCCACATTCTCATAACACCATTGTAGAATTACCAAGTGGCAATCTTACATTTATTTGAGTAATTCTTTGGTTGATTAAAGCTGTTTCTCCTATAAGATCATAAACTTTATGAGGACAGGGGATCTTGTAGGTGTTTTCTCACCATCATTTTACCAGGCTTACAGAAATCCCATCTCTTCTAGTAACATTGCAGACAGAAATAAGAATGATAATAACTACTGCTCTTCTGAAAACATGGTCTGAGCCAATTATATCTTCCCTGTGGGTCATGCTTACATGCCATCTTGAATGCCAATGGACTTTGCTATTGCATGAACCAATGGTACAGATCCCAACTCTGATAGGTTGGGACCCATGTAAGGGCAAAATAAACAAATCAGGAACACATTTTTTATTTATTTATTTATTTATTTATTTATTTATTTTTACTTTGCACATTTTATTTTTATTATTTAGGAACACATTTTTTAAAGTGTGAAATTTTATTATGATGATTAGTGTATTTAATAAATGAAACTGGGATTTCCTTAGGATAGAGAAAGCATATCTGTTTCACCCATTATAAATAGATCCTGGGATAGGACTTTGGCACCTTTGACTGAGTAATTGATTGAATAAGTGAATGGATAGAATAGCAATTATTACTTAACATATGAAAAAGTTGAGGGACAAAGTTATGATGTGACTTGATGGAGTGACATTACTGAGTCAAAGTAGAGCCTAACACTTAGTGATGCTCCCACTGCCTCCTGCCACCATCCACTTAGGACGGTATTAAGGTGGCCACCAGAGGACAAGAAGTGTCAGAAAAGCTCAGATGGCCTCTGTACTCAGGATTTTGGCCTGTTAAGATGTTTGAATGACATGGCTCAAATTCCTTTCTACTGTCTAGATTGAGAAACCAGCTCCAGTGGAGATGGCCTGAGTATGCCCATAATCCCAGTACTGGAAAATCCTGCTACTAAAACCAGATCTAGCCAGCCGTGCAGCTGGCAGTGGAGTCTCAGACTGGGTGTCGGGAACCACACCCTGATTCTGAGCAGACTCCACTAGGCCTCCCAGGCAGCACTCAGCAAGCCACCAAGGGGGCCAGGGACTCTGGGATACAGGATAGACAGGAGAGAAACCTCTGGGTTTCTCACCTGTGAATCTGTAATGCCAATACTCACCTCAAAGGCTTGGTGTACAGATAAAATGAAGCAGCATCTGTAAAATGCCTCATATTGTGCTGGATAAATAATTGATCAAAAAATGGTAGTTTCTTTCTTTTCTAAGTTACCATCGAAAGGACTCTTTCACGTCTCCCAGAGCAGCTAAGATGATGTAAACTCAAGCAGCTTAGCTGAGAGTCAGACTTCTCTTGGAAAAATTCCTAACCCTCTCTCCATCCCCCACATAGGAACTTTAAGGACTCAGTTCATTTCAGAAAGAAATGTATAAAAGAATAAGCAGATTACAGCCAGCCCTGGAGGGGGGGCTTTTTTTTTTTCCTTCTAGTATCACAATAAGCATTATCTGGCAAGAAAACAGCCTTTTCTGCTTTCCTGGGCTCTGTCTTATTGGAGAAGCAGCCTAAAAATTGTTCTTAATCTCTAAGGAGTTTCCAGGTGTTTAATGACTTGCTGGGGTAATAAACCACTGAATTCTGGGAAATCATTATGGGAGATGTTACCTACCACTTACCTCTGACTTTGAGAATCAAACCAAGCGATATGGTCTGGGCAGAATCAGGAAAAGCATCAGTTTTGAAATCTGACAAACCTGAGTTTGAACCAAAATTCTATTGTTTTTGTTTTGTCTTGTTTTTTTAAAAATATATTTTATTGATTTTTTTTTACAGTGAGGAAGGGAGAGAGATAGAGAGTTAGAAATATCGATGAGAGAGAAACATCCATCAGCTGCCTCCATAATTCTATTGTTGATAGCTATAGAATCTTAGGACAAATTGCTTGTCCCTTTGGCACTGAGGTGTACTTATCTATAAAATAGATATGATATACTATATCTTGAAAGGTAAGAATTCTTATGCAAGATAAGAATGTATTAGTTATCAATTGCTGCATAACAAATTACCACACACACACACACACACACATACACACACACACACACACCCCAACATTTATCAGCTTAAAACGACATTTACAATCTTACAGTTTTTGTTTGTGAGGAATCTGGGCATGGCTTAGCTGGGTCCTTTGGCTCAGGATCTCTCCCAAAGCTGTAAGCTAGAGTTCTGATCTCATTTCAAGGCTGAATTGGGGAAGGACCTGCTTCTAAGCTCTCTCACTGGCTGTTGGCCTTGCCATGTGGATCTATGGAGATAGAGCAGCTCACAACAGGGCAGCTGTGTCATCAGAGCAAGAAGGCAAGAAGAGTCAGAGATATAGAGAGACTGCAAGACAGAAGTCACAGTCTTTTATAACCTAATCTTGGAAGTGTCATCCCATCACTTTTGTTGTATTCTTACTGGTTAGAAGCAAGTCACTAAGTCTAGCCCATATTTACCTGGGTGTGTCAGGAAGTGACCGGTAGAAGCTGTCTGCCACGATATTCAAAGATTCTCAGTAAATGGCAGTTGCTGTTATGACCAACTATGAGGGTACTTTGCAAAGCAACGTTCACCACAAAAATAGAAGAAATCCACTTGATTACGTATTATGATCAAGAAATTTGGCAATCAGGGAGTGAGGGCATGAGTGAGGATGAGAGAGTGAGGGACGATGGGGGGAATAAAGACTCATATGTAATACTTTAACCAATAAAGAAAAAAAGAAATTCAGCAATCATATGACACTATCAGTCTATTACAGATGCTGATTCTATCCAAAGATTACATGTAGAGACGCATTTAATTTATATTGAATAGAGATTTGATTACTTTTACCAAATGACAATGTTTGGACACTAGTTAAAAGGCACACATTTCCCTTACATAATGTTTTAGCATATATCTAGTTATTTTCAGATGTCCATGTTTTTATGGGGATGCAAATACAAATATGCATCTTGATTTTCTCATTTAGCAATATTATAAAGGCATTTTATCCTGCTGTACTTTCTTTGTAATTAGCACTTCAACAGCTACTTGACATTTCTATTCAGTAGAAAATGTAAGAATCATGATTTACTTAACCATTTCCTTTTTCTGTGACACATAAGTTGCTTTAATGTTTTGCCATTAAAAACAATGCTGTGATTGAGTGTATTTTGTGTGGTAAGTTTCCTCCCTGATAACTTGAATTATCTCTTTGGGATAAAATCCCAGAAAAAGCAATTAGAATGCACACATTTTAATGGCTCTGTCAAGTTTTACCCAAATGAGAAAATGGCTTTGGGTTTTATATAAGCAAACACTGTTCCATCAGCCCCAGATTGAGTTCCTCAATGGCAAACACCCTCACTTAGTTTTTAATTTTTTAAAAAACATGGCCTCTTGCCTCTAAGCAACATTTAGTGACTATTGTAGGCTAAATGAATGAACAAAAATATTTAAAAATTTGACACGTTAGGAAAAATATTTAGGCTAAATCTATTGAAACTTTTTTTAAAAAAAATCAGGAGATGTTGGATTTCCATTTAGAAATCACTAAGAGATGTGAAGGAAGTACCCATGCCAAGCACTGGGCTCTCTTTTGCCCTTTTCTTATCTGATTTAATACTCACAGCACCCCCTACAGTTCATTTTCCACACAGCAAGGGAATAAAATGCATAAATCAGAGTGTCAAACCCTGCTTTTATAAAGGATCCCAGGAAATATCTGTTGGCCCCCATCATTTGGGGAAAACAACCTAACACAGTAGGTCTTCTTTTATGGAGAGAATACTAGTTCTCTGGAAATGTCTTGTACACAAAATTTTCACCCTGTACTAGGACTCATGGGATTTTTTAAAAAAACGTAGTTCAGTCCAGGGAATGAGTCATTTAACCAAACTGTAGGCAAATTGAAAAATATTTAGGTAAGCAGATAACAAATGACCCTCAAAAATAATTTTGTTGATCAAAATTTACTCCAGCTAAAGTACCCTGCCACTCTGCAGCACATAACTCTTAGAACTCCACAGTAAACTCTCCACCCTCTTCATACATGGCCCTTTTTTAAAAGGAAATTTTAATTTACTTATTTTAAGAGCAATCATCCTCATATTTTAGACCCAGGAGACCAAGTTGCTTGTACAGATCAGAGTGCACGAGTGACACAACCAGAATTTATTTGCATCCAACATCCAAACCAATTTCAGGTTTTGCCGATAAACTTGAACCACAGCGCCCCCTGGTGGGAACGTAGTGACTTGGCTTTCCAGGCCCTCTGCCCTCCGGAGACATCGCACTTAACCTGCACTTCTGTTTTTCTTCCGCTCAGGTGAAGGAGGCCATGCAGCGGATCCACGACCGAGGGAACATTGGCAAATTAATTCTGGATGTAGAGAAGACCCCGACTCCACTGGTGAGTCAAAAGCAGAGGGAACCTTCAGTTCAACACAAGAGGTCTGATCAGGTACAGGCACAGATGGGGCAGGGGGAAATATAGCAGGCCCGGGACTGACGGAGGTGACCAGCGATAATCAAAGGATGACGCAAATAAGGGATGCCACAAACTGAGATAAATGCTGAGAAGGAACGGAAAATTCTTCAGTGAGAGTATTCCAAGAGCAATCCGAGGCCAGTCAGGAAAGGATAGAAACAATGACCTGTGTCTATGACAAATGCCATCTATTGGCTGTCACGTACAGGAGGAATTCCTGGCAAAAAAAAAAATCTAATAAATTCACACGCACATACTCGACAGATTGATGCCAACCGCCTCTGAGATGGCTTCTGATGATTGCATTGCTTTGGTTTTCTCTGATCAAGATAAAACCCTTATATCCAGGGATCTCACCAGGAATGAAGCATGTCAATCACATCCCATACACTCTTCAATGGCCACTTGAGGTGGGGGGAGGAGCTTGGTACTAGTGTGACAATCAACACAGCAGCTTTCACCAGACGGCATGATTGAAAGTTCAGCTCTGAGCTCCTGTGTGTGACCTGGGCAATTACTTTGCCACAATTACTTTGCTGCAATTTACAGTCCCCGTCTGTAAATTGGAAATTGATAAATTCTCAATTAGAATGATATGCTAAAACTGTCTCACACACACTAAATTCTAGGAAGGGTTTGACAAAGAAAATACTTAGGAAGGGTTTCTGTTTTCTCACATGTTTAATCTTGGAGCTACTTCAGTCATTTATGAAAGAGCAAGACCTAAAATGTCTTGCATGTTTTACTGGAAGGCATGTATTTTTTAAGTGTTTACTGGGCTTTCATGACCGTAATGTAGTTTAGGTATGATGGCCATTTTTCTCAATGAAGGACTGTTAAATGAGAGGGCATTTTACAACGCGTAAGTCACTGATGACAATATGAATATAGCTTATTAAATGCTTACTAAGTTCCAGGTCTGTGCCAACAAGTGTTTTAAGCAGATGAGGGACCAGGTTAAGAAGGATAAGATGGCTTATATCTGGGTCTTCTGTGCATCTGTGCTGTGTTCTTTAAACATGTAACCAAGTCTGTTCCAGCCCCATCAGTATAATGCAGACAGGTAAAGGCATCCTGGTCTGCTTGGTGCTTTCAAGCCAAATCGCTGGCACTGGCTTCCAACCCCTCTCCTTACCGGTGAGGTCCTGCTGGGCTCCAGGGCTGGCGGGAAGGCCTGTTTGATGCCAAAGGTGTGTGTGTGGTGGGGGTTGGGGGGTGTCTTATCAGAGCAGAATCTGAAAGGCAGACCATTTAATGTGAGAACTGAAAACCTGCCTTTGCTCATATATCATTGTCCTTGTTCCTGGATCTCAGGATGACTTTTACTGTGGGACTTAAGGAAACAGAGATGATGGAGAATAGGCCAACTCAGATCTGTATTTGGAGCATCTCTAGAGTGGGTGGAGGCTACAGCCCAACTGGATGGAAGAGTAGGCTCAAAGGAATCATCTCCCAGATTCCAAATACATGCATTCAAATCCTTAGCTCAGAGACGGCTTCTTGGGGTGCTCAACACAAGGCAGCTAATACCACACTGCCTTCCTGGGGAAGCAAGTGGTGCAGGGTCTCCTAGCTCTTGGCCTTTAAAGAAGTCCTTCCACGTGGCTTCAACAGGTGCTTGGAAAAGGTGGGGGTTAGGTTGCAGAGCCCTCTCACAAGTCTATTGTTGAATTACAGATGGCCAATGACAGCACAGAGACCAGCGAGGCCGGAGAAGAGGAGGAGGACCATGAGGGGGACGGCGAGAACAAGGAGCGGATGCCCTTTATCCAGTAACCCAGGACCCGGCCAGAACGAAGGATGGTTTGAAAGAAGAGGAGCCACTGAAGAAAGCTCTTCTGTGCCCCAGTGAACAAATGCTGTAGTCCAGTGCGTGTCGTGTTTGTCTGCAGTCAGCTGAGCTAAAAAGCTTTGATCACTGTTGTTATTTGAAATTAAGTGCCAACCCCATTCCATGCAGTGTTATGTCCCTCCTGGTCTGTATTACACTCTCCTATCTTCCCTGTTTCAAAACCACCCATCTTTGACTCCTTTTCGATGGTTTTAGAACAGTCTGATTAATACAAGTCCACAGGCTCCATGCCTAGGAGACTAGACATGGGCAAAGACAACTTTGGATTGAAAGGTATCATCACAGAGCATTATCCAGATCCTAGAATTCTTCAGGCCAATGACAAGCTGCTGAGAGCACTTGCAGATTTGGCTGGCAGAATGAGAATAGGCCAGATGATTTCATGAGCCCATAATTTATGATCTCTCCAAATAGTACTTTTCCTCTCCCCCAACTTCCTTCAACTGCTTCACTGTCAGAAGGTTGAACTCTTGTTCTCTCACCTTCTGATGCTCAATCCCTTCCCTGGTTCTTATCCATAAGTACAGGGAAACTGATGTGAAGTTTTCAGGATGAAAGATGGGTCAACAGCATGTGTTTGAAGACCAGCCACAGAGATTTCTCTCTGAAACCACATCTCATGAGCAAAATCCCCTCATCCTCCACTACATAGATTGTATTTTAGTTTTAAGAAAACTTACCACATGTGGGTCTATATTGGAAGTCATTACTGAGAATCACCTGTGTTTGCACACTTGCTTTTGGTATTACCAATTTTGCTCTATTTATTTCCTAGAAGTGAACAGCCACATTTACCATGGATCCCCCAAGGAAGACCTCTGTGGTAGACCATTATTTAAAAAAAAAAATCAGTGAGCATCCTTTTACTTGCCAAAGCATGTTCCAACATGTAACAAATTCTAGTAGTATAAGAATTCAGTTTCAGATGCCAAATATGTGGCTCCTCTCCTCTGAAATATAAAATTATGGTGCAGATTCTTTGCAGGGACCCTGCAATGGGCAAATTGGGGACCAAACTCCTTGATTACACACCTTTGTTCAATTTTCCAGCTCCTAAACTTCTAAGAAACCCTGCCTTTTGCCCCACCCAACTTGGCATGGCTGAGGTGAACAGCTCACCTGCAGGAAGAGAAAGAGGCTCAGTGTCTCCACCAGGGTGCTTCTCATTCCCTCCTCCCAAAAAGGTGACTCCATCCCTCCTAAACCAAGCTGGGAACACAAGAAGCCCACAGGGTTAGCACCTCAGCTCACTTTACATTCTGGAAGATATTGGGGGGGGGGGAGGTGGGCGTGGGTCCTACATTTCCCCATTTCTCCAACAACAAGCCCTAAAGGTAGACCAACTCTTCCTCTATGTGATGAAAAATGCATTTCAGCAATTACCTATTTAATTACCTATTAAATATAATTACCCATTACAATTACCTATTTCATTTTCAGTCCTTTTGTAACAAATGTCACCTCGTTAATCATGTTCTTTTTTTTTTTTCTCACCCTAAGCTTGTGATGATGACTTATTTATCTCAAATATTTATTTGAAGGGAGAGTCTCTCGTTGTGAATGTCCATGTGAAATATGAAGACAAGAAAGGGTGCTGCCATCTCATGTGCAGGGATGAGAGTATCTCAAAGAGGACACAACATCCTCTTCTCCCTGCACCCCAGGACTCCCCAGCATCCCAGTTCTGAAAGATGATATTGAAATGTTATCCCAATACCTTTGCCAAATGTATTATTGATCATTCTTTTTCCCACAACCAAGCTGACAATGGTGTCTTAAGACCATTTCTCCCATTTTGTCCAGCTACCCAAGTGACATTCCTGGTAAGCTGGACAGAAATGGCATTTTCTAGAGCTGGGGGAGCAAAGAGCCACTGGCCTTATCAGGGCTCTCCTTGGCCAAGTGAGAGGGACCCCACATTCTTGTTACAACCAGAGGAGAAGCCTAAAAGTAATTCCTCCCCAAATCTGTTTTCTCAACTAGCAAGATTAATAGAATAATCACAAACAAGCCAGTTGGTTCAAGAAAACCCTTCTGTCCCTCCAGTATACAGAATGAGAAAGCTAGAATTTGTCCAATGTGATTAATTAAGTGCCATGAAGAACAGGAAAACAAGAGAATCAAAACGATCTGTGTAATGCACTCTCATCCCAAGCACCTTCTTTCCTGTCATGTGATGGTTTTCTGAAGGAGGTTTAAGAAGGCCTCAGTTTGCCTTAAAGGAACTGTGAAGGCTTCTCTGTAATCTAAGCTTGATTGGAGAGAACTGCAACATTGTCTAATGTATTTGTGGCTTTAGAGCTTTTGTTATATTGTGCCTACAAAGCAAATTATGTTTACACAAAAATATAAATAAAGTATTCAGCATAGCATAACTCTGCCTGGCATCAGTTACTCCACATCAATAGTTGTTGGGAAAGCACACATTGAAATATAAGGAACTGGTGGCTAAAAGAGGATGGGGAACTAGAGACAAGATAGAAAATATAGGGCAGAGATGAGACAAGCCTTTAAAAAGACGTTCAGATTTCCTCAAATAAGAAAATAAAACTAAATTAAAAAAAAAAAAAACTACTAGAGACTTCATATATAACTAGAGGCCAGGTGCATGAAATTCCTGTGCCCTCTTGCAATCCAGGAGCCCTTGGGGGATGTCCAACAATGGCAGGGAGCAGGCCTAAGCCAGCAGTCAGACGTCCTTAGCGCTGCCACAAAGGTGGGAGAGGCTCCTGCCACCACCACTGTGCTTGATACTCATGAGCCCGGCTTCTGGCTGAGCAGCACTCCCCCTGTGGGAGAGCACTGACCACCAGGGGGCAGCTCCTGCATTGAGTGTCTCTCCCCTGGTATTGAGTGTCATAGCACTGTCATTCTGCTGTTAGGTCAAGTTGCCTTTTATTAGATAAGATAATAATAATTAGAATGGTATTTATAATGCACCTACTATATGCCGTTAAAAGAGCTACATACAACCCAGCTGGTATTGCTCAGTGGTTAAGTATCAACCTATGAACCAGGAGGTCACATGCCCAGGTTGTGGGCTCCATCCCCAGTGTAAGGCGCAGGAGGCAGCTGATCAATGATTCTCATCCTTGATGTTTCTACCTCTCTCTCCCTTTCCCTTCCTCTCTGAAATCAATGAAAATATTTGGGAATGGGGGAAGAGTTTATATACATATGCCTTAACTTGCTTATCTTCCCCACAGTCTTGAGAAGTAAGGTTTATCATGCCCATTTTATAGGTGATAAGCCTGAAGCATAAGAGAGGTTTTGTCTTTTCCTAAGATCAGACAGCAAGTACCCTGTTTCCCTGAAAATAAGACAGTGTCTTATATTAATTTTTTCTCCCAAAATTGCACTAGGTCTTATTTTCAGAGGATGTCTTATCTTTCCATGCGCTAGGTCTTATTTTCGGGGAAACACGGGGTAAGTGATGGAGCCAGGATTTTTTAGCCATGCTAGAATTCATGCTCTTAAATGCCCTACCATGCTTTCTTGTCTTAAATAAGGCTAAAGTATGATGCATTTCAAATTAACACCCTTTGGTCAATAGAAATACTTCAGGGATTCTGTTTCCTCTGACTTCAAGAATATGTCTGTCAATTCATTTTGCTTTGTAGCAAATAATATGCCTATCAAGAAGCACTTCTTTTCCCTGGCCTTCCCTCCAAGTGTTCAAGTGAAGTGCTGATTTTAAAACTCACATGTCTCCACCATTTTTATTTTCTTGATCCAATATACTAAAGGCCATCAATGAAATACACAAAAGTAAATCTCCAAAGTCTAAGACTTCACAAAAGAGGAATTGTGATTAGGGAGGCTTTACCTTGTTTACCATAATTCTCAGCAGGAAGCCAAAAGAAAACAGAGCTAGTCTCATGTCAATAAAGCGTCGCATGTATACACCTCAGTTTACAAAGCAGAAGAGTTAGTCGTAGTGTCAGTGAAATGCTTACAAAGTCCCTGCAAACAGAATTTTCTCCAACATTCTCACTTAATGCTCCTGTGCTCCATGTAAATCTCATGGCCTCTCAGAGCCAATGCTGGTGCACTGTCACATTTAAACACAGGCCTGCAGCAAACACTGGAGCCTAAACTAAAGCCCACATCTCTTACAACCTGAGAATGGGGAAGAGGTCCAGCAGTTGGAAATAAGTTACTTTCAGCAGATGAGGTTTTGGTAGTAATGGAGGTAAACTTTCGAAAGCCATTTAAGGCATGGAAAAACATTTGTGTAGTAGTAAAGAGGTGAGAACTTTTGAAGGACATATTGGAAGAAGGGAGAGTAGAAAAGTGTAGCTGAAATACACGTATGTGAGGTTTGAGGAGAGGAGACATACATTATGGGAAGTGAGTCCCAGGTTTGGAAATCTGAATGCCAACCTGATAATCTTGGGTTGGATGGAAAAGAAGAAGGATGTACAATGGTGTGAGGAGAAAGCTTGGGGTGTGGAGGCAATTACTAGGGGTAAATGCAGGGTTTCATGGAAAGAGGGCTATGAGAATGGCCTACAGGTGGTCTGAAGTTAGATATCAAGCACTAGTTTGGATCCTCCAAGATCAGACACTAAAACAAGGATTGGATGTTAGCAGTGTTGGGAGGTGAAGGGAAGAAGGCACTTCAGAGTTTGTTGCTGAGCAGGTTATCACTGTGGAAGATCATAGACATGCCCCACAGCTGTACCACTTGAAAGGTGAGGAGTTGTCATATTTATTATCAATTCCTATGCATCATTGATTAAAGGCTACTCCCAGCAAGCATGTTGATTCCTTGGAACTCTTGACCTTCCCCTTGGGTGACCCACACACATTGCTGTGGCCAGACAGTGCCTGCAGACCATCAGATGATATCTAACAGCTTCAAGGAGATAACTCCTATAACTCTTCCAGGAAATTAACCCTTTATTCTGAAATTATAGGGTGGATACTCTTAAGGCTTTTCATAAACTACTAAAGGCCCAGTGCACAAAATTCATGCATCAGGGAGTGTCCCTCAGCCCAGCCTGCACCCTCTCCAATCTGGGACCCCTTAAGGGATGTCATATCGGGCCTAAACGGTCAGTTGGACATCCCTCTCACAATCCAGGACTGCTGATTCCCAACTGCCCTCCCCTGCAGGCTTGGGTCCCCCACAACTGCTCTACTTGCTGGCCTGGTCTCCCCCAACTGCCGTCCTCTGCTGGCCTGGTCACCCCTAACTTCCCACAACTTCCCTCCCCTGCAGGCCATCTTGTAGTGGCCATCTTGTGTCCACATGGAGGCAACCATCTTGTGTATTGGTGTGACGGTCAATTTGCATATTACTCTTTTATTAGAAAGGCTATTTCAGTCTTAGTAACCATATCCCCATTCTAGTTATCCCATTAGTTCACACCATCCCTTCTTTTCTGCTTTTGTTTCCTTAAATGGTTTCTTGAATTAAAGACTAAAGTTTCTGCTCAGAAGTGATAGCCAAAATGCCTCTTTATCTCATCATGATGACTTATCTCATTGGATCTCACTTGCCAAATTTCAGCTCTCTTCATTGGGGCAAGAAAACCTGGGGTTCTATGTAGAGGGCCGCCTGGGAAGGCACGTGGGCATTTATTTTAATGGTTGCCAGCTGAGTCCAAGATGACTGGCAGAGCCGTGTCTAGGATACACATTTCCCAAAATGGCAGACAGTATAATCAGGTTGGCCTTCATATCAGCCCATGTGTCGGCAGGAGCGGGACTAGATATGTAAATCCAGGCATGCTAGGACCTACTTAAGAATGCAAATAAGTTGGTGATACTTTCTGATATTGGGAGTATAAAATAAATGCACTGGGAGGGGTCAGGGTCATTGTCTTCCTGTCTCTCTATCAGAGAGGATGGCATCCCACCCAGCTCCCAGCTTTTAAATCTGTTTCTACGTCTTCTTTCTTTCCATTATTTCTCAATCTCTGGCCGCCTCCACTTAGAACCGGTTCATTCATCTCTCTTTCCGTGCTGGATGTGGAAAAGGGAGATCCCCACCATGTCTAGCCCCCGCCGCATTCAGGACCCTGCAGTTCTATGTTAAATAAAAATGCATGTCTGTTCAACAAATGTTAATGAACATTTACTGGGTGCAGGACCCTGTTCTGGGTTCTAGAAATAGGAAAAAAACAAAATGCAAACTTTTTTTTCAAGAAATTTACAGTCTATTCCTGGCTGACATGGCTCAGTGGTTGAGTGTCGACCTATGAACCAGGAGGTCATGGTTCAATTCCTGGTCAGACACATGCCCAGGTTGCAAGCTCGATCCCTGGTGTAGGGTGTGTAAGAGGTGGTGGATCAATTTTTCCCTTTCATCATTGATGTTTCTCTCTTTCTCTCCCTTTCTCTCTGAAATCAATAAAAAAAAATATTTTTTTAAAGAAATTTACAGTCTAGGCCTATGTTATCCAATAAAAATATACAGGATGGGGTAAAAGTAAGTTTGCAGTTGTTCATATGGAAATTAATATACAAGAATAAACTGTTTCATGAACTCACAACTATAAATCTTTTGCCCCATTTTGTATGTGAGTCACATGCAAAGTGAGATTTTTCTTGTAGCCACATTAAAAAAGTTAAAAAACAAAGAAATTTAATTTTAAAAATATTTTATAGAGAGAAATATATACAGAATGTTATTATTTCAACACAGAGGTTACTAATGAGATATTTTTATATTCTATTTTTCATACTAAGACTTCCAAATGTGATGTGCACTTACACTCACAGCACATCTCAGTTCTCAGCAGCAATTGCCAGTGATGAAAGAATGAGATGATTGACAAATACTCAGTAGCATTCCTCCTTTTCATAACAACCAAGAAAAGATAGAGCACTATACTTCGCATCTAGATATGCTTGTGGGAGAAAAAATAGTTATGAACTGAATGTCCATCCACCCAATGCATATGTCAAAATCTTAACAGCCACCATGTGATGGTATTAGGAGGTAGGTATTAGGAGGTAATCAGGATAAGATGAGGCCTCAAGGGTAGATTAA